TTAAAAAGAAGAGCGTAGAGAAAACGCAACTCAGGCTCTGTTTGCAAACACAACTGCGAAGTGTTTTTGACTTTTTTAAATGATTTGGGAAAAAATGATTAATAGTAAAAGTTGGTAGTGTGTTGAGAAAAAAGTGATTTTGAAAAGTAAAAGCTAGTGGTGTTTGGTAAAATAAGTGTTTTTTGTGTAATAGAAAAAGTAAAAAGTAGATTCTAGTTTTTAGCTTTTAAGTAATTCATTTAAGTAGAAGTTGTCATTTGAAAACATCTTTTTTTAGTTTTTTTAAGTCAAAAGTTGGGAAGTGTTTTTTTTTGTTGTGTTTGCAAAGAAAGCCTCATTCATGTGACACAAGCAAATGCCAAAAAACTGTGTCTAAGGTGTGATGGCCGAAACTTAGGTTGATACTGTTTAATCTTCTATACTACACACTATATAGAGACTTATTAGGAGACCGGTTGGGTGTGAAAAGGATGGATATTTTAACTCCAAATACTTAATAAAGAAATAATGACATATTTCTACTTAAAGTAAAGATAATAAAAATGTGACCTCTTAAAATAGATTATTACAGTAATTTCTAGTAACTAGTTTTATGTTCATTTTTCAGATTTAAGTGATCATGCCGATATGCTCATAATTATTTTAATCAAATATTAATAAAAAAAAAATTATTTCACCTCTAGGGTCAACAAACCAGTCCAGATCTCACATTTCAATTCGGGAATGGTACGAATGTTGGTCAAAAGGGTCAACTTTTTACAGTTTTGCGGTAATAAAATTTTAAAATACCGAGATCCTCTCGTCCTCTAGCTCTCCTGTCTTTTTTCTAAAATAAAACGTAAGGGAAATAACAAATACGCGGAGTACCTTTTTCTTTTTCCCAAAACAAAACTGAAAACTGAGATGCAGAGAGACAGAGAGGCACTCACTCAGACACACATATCTAAATGGCCATACTAATGTTTCATCAACATTAAATTATTTTCAAAAGAACCCAATAGCCAAGCATCCTCAAATCATTTCACTTCCAGATCAATCATCACAAGCTCCAAACCAGGAGCCTTCCCCATCCATTTCTGTCTTTTGTTGAAACTTCAAAAAGATGTTGAAGCTGCTGATCCTATTTGTTGTAATAATAATTGGGTTTTTTAGCTCCACATTGTCTTCTTCAGTTCCTGTAGAAGTAGAATCACCTGTTCCTCACCCAGTTCTTCCAAGTGAGAAAGAACCCATATTTCAGCTTTCGTCAAACTCAACTGCCCTTTCTCCAGGTAACTTGGTAATGCTTGGTGTACAATGGGTGATGGGTTGTGGACCTCTCTTTGTTTTCAGATTTGTTTTGAATCATTTCTTCTTGGTACACCACTCCATTAGATATTGTTATTCTGCATATGAACATTGATGGGTTTTCATGACTTCTGAGTTGATTTTTTAGTGCAGACTCATATATAGTGTGTTTCCTTTTCTTGATTTTATTTAGTTCCGGTATCCCTTTCTTTTTTTGGACAAATGCCATACACTTCCCTTATCTTGATGGGTCTTTCTTTTGAGGGGCTATGCAAAGATTACAGTATTCTCAGTCATCTATTCATTATTTTCCAGCAAAATTTTGGCTGTCAAAAGTGATCCTTTCATCTTCTTGACGATAGGGGCAGCAGATGTCAGAGCAATCCAGCACCAAACCTTGAAGAAGAAAGTTCTAATTGCTCTCATTGTTTCCTCATCCATTCTTGGTGGAATTGTGCTGTTATTATCTGGTTTTTGGGTTAACAGGCTGACTAAATTGAAGAAATTCAATGAAAGATGGAAGCATAATGCAGGTTCTTTATCTGTCTAGTCATATTTCAAGAAGACAAGAAGAAAATTCATCAATACACCATTACTGAGATGTAAAAAAATGTTTATTTGTAGGTTTTCAAGTAAACGACAAAAAGATGATACCTTTTAAAGTCAATGGCGGTAGGAAGGGCTTAGTTGATCTAATTGAATACCCTATGTTACTAGCTGCTACGAACAACTTCGCGGAGGAAAATGTTTTGGGTGAAGGGAGATTAGGGCGCGTGTATAAAGCAAGATTTGGCAATGACTTTGAGGCAGCTGTTAAGAGACTTTCTTGTGGTGGTGAACAAGATGCTAATAAGAAAGAATTTGAGGTACAAGTAGCTGAAAATAATGACAAATTTATGACTAATATAAAAAAAATTGGGCAAAATGCGACTTTTAGTACACAGTGATTATATAGTTACTCTAGTAGTCTAGTGACTATGGTTACAATTTTACTCTGTAGTTACCATGACTTTTGGGAATGATTGTTGTGACCATGCACTCACATTTTTGTTCATAAGTTCTATTTTTGAAATCTTTTGGGAGAACCTATATTTTCTCACTCTCTAATATATATAGCTAAGAACCATTCTAAATTGCAGAATGAGCTAGATTTGTTGAGTAAGGTTCAGCATCAAAACATAGTTTCTCTGTTAGGGTACTCTGTTGATGGTGATGTGCATCTCTTGGTGTATGAAATGATGCACAACAGTTCTTTGGAATTTCAATTGCATGGTATACATACTTCTTATTTATGTTCAATTCAGAAGATGTAGGGGGTAATGGATTATGTTAACATATCTCTAACTTTGTTTTCTCTACGAACTTTAGGACCGCCTCATGGATCAGCTTTAAGTTGGCCTCTACGGATGAAAATTGCTTTAGACGTTGCAAGGTAGAATTAATTATATATTCTTCTACTTACCTTTGTATCATGTGTCTTCTTTTCGATTGAAAGATCATAATAAACATTGATTGATGGTTGAGCAGAGGACTGGAATACCTTCACGAGCATTGCCTCCCAAGTGTGATCCATAGGAATCTCAAATCGTCCAAGATACTTCTTGATAACAACTTTAATGCTAAGGTATATGCAGTCAAAGAGAAAATTATCTGATGTCCTTTTTTGAAAGTAAACTAAAGTATTTGTGAATGGAAGACCACTTACTTTTTTCTTTCATAATCTAGATTTCTGATTTCGGCCTGTGTGCAAGTGGTGGAAACATAAACAAGAGCATTGCCAAGATTTCAGGATCACAGGGTTATGTTGCACCAGAATATCTCTTAGACGGTAAGTAGATGTTCCATCCCTTCCTTAAAATTTAGTTTAATGAAATTGTGAAACATCTTTTCCAATCACATCCTTTTTCCCAATACCGCGTAAGATCTAAAACTAATTGTTCTTCTAATCACTTCCTCCATCTCACAATTTAGGAAGTACATGTCTTTCATGCAATTTTTTTTAGAAAACAAATAAAACATACGGAGTATTTACTTTCCATGTTCACTTCTCTATGTGAAATCCGTAGAACTTGTTATATGGTATGAAGGGAAATTTTGAAAAATAAAAGTTTCACGGTGTTAAAATGAGAAAGTTTACATTTTTTTGGCAGAGTAAAAAGGAAGATTGTGGCTGACTTGATAATTTGTGTTGTAAGAAATATTGATATTTATTAAAACGGTTTGATCTTTTATCCTTCTAAAATGGTGCATATGCTAATAAAAGACGATAGACTTCATTCTCTTCTTGTGCTTCCCATGAAAACTTACAGGAGTTCTTTACTGGCAGGTAAGATAAGTGATAAGACCGATGTGTATGCCTTTGGCATTATTCTTCTAGAGCTTTTGTTGGGGAAAATGCCCATAGAGAAAGTGGGAGAAACAAAGTATCAATCATTAGTTACATGGGTAAGGGAAATCAGGTCAAGAAAAACATATTCTAGCAAAGGGGCTTTAAGATTCATTTCCCTTTAATTGTGCATCATATGCAGGCAATGCCCCAGCTTACTGACCGATCAAAGCTTCCGAGTATTGTTGATCCTGTTATAAAGAACACCATGGACGTGAAGCACTTGTACCAGGTTTGTTACCAACGATCATTAACCAAGAATTCATCCAGTAAATTAATTTTCATTATTTATATTATTACTTTTGCTGTTGTCTGCAATAATTTGCATTATTAAGTGGATCCTTTTGGTATAGGTTGCTGCTGTGGCGGTGTTATGTGTGCAACCAGAACCAAGCTATAGACCGCTAATAACGGATGTACTACACTCCTTCATTCCCCTTGTACCAAATGAGCTAGGTGGGTCCCTTAGGGTAGTGGACTCTGCTCTACCCACCACCAACTTATAGCTACTCCTGCATTCCCTCCTCAGTTTCTTATGCTAAAAGTGCCAGTCGTTTTTCCTACTTATAGTAAATTTTGAGAAAGTGTTCACTTGTTCACAAGGCTAGAGGCTTTTCTATCATCGTTTTTACTGACTGGTTGATATATACATTTGTACATATTACATTAGAGATGATGAAAACAATGAATATGGTTACTTCTTGTTTGTTGCTTTACATACTCGCACACAGGGATAATAATCACAGGCAGTAGTGAGGATATTAGTAATGAAAGAAAATCATCAAAAGACTTGCAGAACTAAGGCATGGATTCTATCATACTCCATCCACCTCAATAAGAGTCGGGTTTAAAAACAGCTGTCACAAAAAAGGGAAATTTTCATAAATAAGATTAAAGCTTAACACTTTTCTTTAAATACTATCAATATAGTCTAATAATTTTAATATTAACTGTGATAAATTCTCAAAAAAGAATCTAGTCTAGTTTTAAAAGCGAGCTTTAATTTCAAGTAAAAATTCGTGTCAAGAGAAGCTGCCAACAGTTTTAGTACAGTACTCCAAACCTTGACGATACGGAGTATTATATCATCAAGGTATATATAAGTGCTGCAAACGGTTCTAGCATTACTCCAAGACGTCCAAGCCATCACGATATTAGGTTATAAGAGTATATGTGGTTAAAAAAAGAGTATATGTGGTCATTCATAAGTCGTATCTTCTAAGAGCTTGTACCATAGTTGAGTTGACCAAATTTTTCAAAATTTAATAACTGCACCTTACTCCAAGCATGACGCTTTTTTGAGACAAGAGTTTGTGAGCTCCAAATTTTACATTTACACTGGATATTTAACTTTAGTACATTTACATTTACTAAAGAATACCAATATTGCAGGGACATTTGATCAAATGAATCCATTTATTAGCAGGGAAGAAAAGATAATTGTTTGACAGAATCTTAGACATGAGTTTTTTAATGAATCTTCTACAACCTACTCTCTAAATGCTTTAGAAAAAACCCAGTCCCAACATTCTCTGTTGGATTTTATTGTCAACCCCCTTCGTCATTATCAGCTGTGGATAAAGAATGTGTCAAAAAATAGTGGATGGAAAAAATGGGCTTCCCACTTGTTGATATCCTCAAATCTACATCCATCCTCAAACAGTGTAGTGTTGCTGGATTGTTTCAATGTCAAGACCCTTGAGCTTCACCACCGATTCAACATGCCCCTTCAATGTATGAAGCTCCCTCAACCTGTTCCAGTAACCGTAAAATTATTCTTACCAGTCTGCATACTAAAAAACCAATTATTCTTACTAAAAGTTAATATGATGGTTTTTTCTTTCTAGACATTTTTTACCTTGCAACTTCAGCACGTCTTTTGGCCTGTTCTGCAATCTCAGACAGTTCTGTATGGTTTTTGTCACTGTAAATCTGAGAAGCATCTGATGACTGAAGTCCATGCAATGTGCGCTGGTCCATGGCCCACTGCGCTTCCCTTTCTCCTCTCCCGTAATCCTTCTTATTTGTGAAAGCAGTCTGCAATGTTTAACAAAGAAAAAATCAGGACACATAACATACATAGAAGGGGTGAAGAACACCTTAGAGCCTTTTTTGGATTCCTTATGATATAAGGGTTGTTATCACAAGTTCTTTCTCATTTATGCACTCCTCTTCCTTAAAGCACCTAACTGCCGATTTCTAAGCACTAAAAGTGCTTTTAACTATTAAAAACATATTTTCCCATTTTCCTACCAAACACTTCTTAATAAGTAAAAACAATTATTCCTTGGAAACAAGTAACCACAATTATTCCTTTGGAAACAGTAATCCTAGATTTTGTTGAATTACCTTTCTGTTGAGCAAATTGTCCCAAGCCTTGCCTGTCTGTCCATATCTAATGATGAACTTCAAGATATCTAGCGGGATGTAGAAAATAATGCTGTAGATCCAGATCACACCAGCCCACCCCCAGCCAATGCCATGGATATTAGCAAATCCCCAGTTTGCATATACGGCAATCAAAGTAGCAATCTTGTTTACACAAAGCAGAAACATAGAGTTGGTTTAGTAGAATTGCAGGAGCAACACATAGAAAGAAATAAAGAAAAAAAACACAACACTAACTTACCAGCTGTGCTACTAGAAAAGCAGCCACTAGCAATAGACCGGGGCGTTCTACATAAGACCAACTTCTTGACCGAGTGACAAAGATAAGTGCTTGGCTCACAATGCTCACTTGAAGATATAGAGCTGAATTAAGCTCAGGGTAACTATCCCTGATTGATCTCACATGAAAGTTGTCCTGCAACACGTAGCACACATGTCTTAGAATTAAGAATGCAATAGTAACTTAACTCTAGCATGAGTATGATATGCTTCATTTTGGGCCAAGCCTGCATGAATTTATTTGTGAATATCACCCTAAGAGCTTGTTTGGTTGGGAAATTTCGGAGACGAGGGAGCGGAAGGGGTGACATTTATTTACTTTTGATCCTTCGATAAAAAAATCATATAGAAATACATGGTCTACATCATATAATGAATTTTAATATATAACAAACAAACAGAGATAAGTTAGCAAATGAAAAAATCAATCATCTCCCCCCTTCCCTCTGGAATCTCTGAACCAAACAAATCTGATACAGATTATCTTTCCTTGGGTTTTTTATGTGAGAGTTGAGATGACACCTAAACAAACAATATAGAACAAAAGAGCAAAATAAAATAAAGGTAAGTGAATGATTGGTTTCTTACTGTGAAGAAATCTGACTGGTGAGCAGCCCAGAAGAAGATTACTGTCATGACTGCCAAGTATGTGCCAAGAACGATACCAGTGGTGAAAATCTCTCTGAGTTTCCAGGAGTCAGGCATTGGGGACGGCTTCACTTTGTCTTTTGAGATCGTCATGATGGTTCCATCATTGAGAATGGCAATGATGAGGACCATAAAGGGAGAAAAGTCAAATTCCCAGATGAGGGCAATGAGCATGAAACCAAGGACGATACGGACAGTTATGGAAACTGCATAAATCGTGTAATTTTTCATCCTCTGGAAAATTGCCCTACTGGTTAAGACTGCGCTAATAATGACACTTAGGCCAGGCTCTGTGAGGACAATGTCAGAGGCACTCCGTGCAGCATCTGTTGCATCTGCCACTGCAATGCCTATATCTGCTTTCTTCAAAGCTGGAGCATCGTTTACACCATCTCCTGTCATCCCACATATATGCTTTCTCTCTTGTAGCTTTTTCACAATCTCATACTTGTGCTCTACATAAGTGCAAAATTCAGCTCAAGTCATTTGTTTATTAGTAAAGTACGAAAAAATGAAAAACATATGATTGTGATACAAATATGGGCAAAAATATTACTTTTAATATAGAATGGCCTTAGTGAGTGACTGTTACTAATGTTCAATAGTACATGGCAGTGACCACATAGTCATATTTTTGTCTATGAGTAATGGACAGAAATAAAACTATGACAAATACATGACTAAAATGAAAGTAATGGACAAACATTTGACTTTTAACCACCCGATATTCGATCTTACACACCCATAACCATGGTAATATCTTTCAGTGTGAATAGTGAGAATGCAGTGTCTTTTTGTCCATGAGTTCTTTAAATACTTTTTTCATAAGTCAGCAACTTCATCATTACTAATGAACTCTTATCATTACCTAATGAGCTCTTTATCATTACTTATTGTTCTTCTCTGATTACTGAAGCAGAATGAGCCAAAAACAGCTACCAAACGGAGCTTAAGTGAATTTTACCTGGAAAAACTCCAGCAAAGCCATCAGCTTTCTCAATGAGCTCTTCAACAGGGAGGGTGGCTATGCTGGCGTCCTTGTGTTGCCCAAGAAGAGAGGAAGAAGGGTACATGTTGGTCCCCATGCCTAGTCGTCGACCAGTCTCCTTAGCAATAGCTAGCTGATCACCAGTAATCATCTTAACGTTCACACCGAGGTCTAGGGCGCGCTTGATTGTCTCCCCGCTGTCGTGTCTTGGTGGATCAAATAGAGGTAATAGACCAACAAAGATCCAGGGTCCTCCCTTTCCTTCCTTGGTCTTTTCTGGTACCGTCTGTATTCACACACAAAGAAAGATCAGCCTCCAAGATATTCAGTACCATTACACATAAGAAATCCCAAGGCTATGTTTGGAATGCAAAAAATTGTGGGAATGTAAGGGAAGGGAAACAAAACTTCAAGGAAAACAGTTCTTTTATATATATTTTTTGTTTTCCTCTGAAAAACGTCAAGGAAAAATTGCGTGTAAGTTTCTTCAAATTTTATATACGGTTGTACTTCTTAGTATGTTTATAACAAATAAAATATGTACTTCATATAAAGAATGAGTTTGAACAAATATCCAGAACTGATTTATTGAGTTTAAACCTCCTTTTTTCCAAAAGTATGTTCCCTTACAAATTTTCTATCTATTTTCCTTGCTATTTTCTAAGTTCCAAATGGACCGTCAGAGCCAAAATGGAAAAAAAAAATGTTTCTGAATTACCTACCTGTTGACAGACAGCAAGAGAGCGAAGACCACGTTCAGCAAACTTGTCAATAATGCTATGAGCTTTGTTCTTTACATCACCTTTCAGCTCACAAAGTTCCACAATCTGGTAGATACTTAAGCATTTTAGCAAATTTCAAACATAATAGATCATATATAGATGAACTTGTTTTTTGTTTATTTAAGATTGCCATAGGTGAATACATCATACTATCCTCCGTCTCTTTTTAATCGCAACATATTGAATTTTACACTATTCACCTGTTCTACTTTGACTACATTTTATATTATTATTTTATGAAAATTATTTTTTAAAAAAAGTATTGTTCAAATCATCTCATTACAAATTTTCAAAATCAAATTTTTAAATATTTTTTACTAATAGAGATTAAGATATAATTACGGTCAAAGACGTGCGTTGGCAAGTGTGAAATGTTGACCGTTGCAACTAAAAAAGAACGGAGGAAGTATTATTTACCTGCTCTGGTGCACCTTTACTGACCCTATGCCAATTCCCTTTGGAGTCTATGAAAGTGATCGCTGTGCGCTTCTCCACGGGATTAAAAGGAAGGAAATGAACCTCCTCAATCCCAGCCCTAGCCTCCTTAGGATCAGCTAGCATGCCAACGATGCAAGCATCAATGGCGTCCTGATTCTCCACCCTCGAAGCCCTGGCCGCCTGAAGCACTAAGGTTTCTTTGTCCATATCCTTAGCAAAAACCTCCACCAGATTTTTATCAACCGTGAGTTTGTTGAGGGTCAGGGTTCCGGTTTTGTCACTGCAGAGAACATCCATTCCCGCCATTTCCTCGATTGCGGTCATCCGCTTGGTGATGGCGCCTTGCTGGGAGAGGCGGTGGGACCCAATTGCCATGGTCACTGACAGGACGGTCGGCATGGCTATCGGGATACCTCCGATGAGTAGAACCAGCAGATTGTCGATTCCGTCCCTGTATCTCCGGTGCTGGATGGGGAACATCACCACGATCTCGACGACGATCCCCAAAGCGATGGTGCAGATGCAGAAGTTGCCAATGGAGGTCAGGACCTTCTGGAAGTGACCAACTTGGTTGGTACTGTCGACGAGATGAGCGGCTTTGCCGAAGAAGGTGTGGAGGCCGGTGGCAATAACCACCGCCTCGATCTCGCCCTGTTTACAGGTGGAACCGGAAAAGACCTCATCTCCTGGGTTTCTGGTGACGGGCAGGGATTCACCGGTGAGCGCGGATTGGTCAATCTTGAGAGGGTCCCCTTCGAGAAGACGGGCATCCGCCGGCACAATATCTCCCAACTTGATGCTTATCACGTCTCCTGGAACCAGAATGGCTGCATCTTGTTCACACCACTTCCCATCTCTCAGTACCTTCACTCATGCCAAAAAAAACCCCATCATCAGAAATCCATGAAAATGGTAAACAAGATAAGCTTTTGTCTCCAATTTTATTTGTAGTGTAATTGCCTATGCTCAGGCACAAAAATCCAGACAAATACTACAAACAAAATCTTATGATGAACAGAGATCTTTTCTGTGCAGAGAAAATTTGTTATATAGATGTATTGTAGAAATTGGTGGCACACAAGCATCACTGAGCTCCCCTGTATAAGAGAAACGAAAAATATTTCTTTCCTTAAATTTGCATGTTGGTAACTGCACCAGTAGTTGGTCATTGTCACTTGACAATGGGCAATATATTTTCTCCAAAGTTAAATACTTGTTCCACATTTTATCCAATAGCTAGGGAATTAGTTATTTTTGATGATTTTTTTTATGAATGTGATGATGAGTTAGATATATACCTTGGTTTTGGGGGCAAGACCAGCCATGAGAGCAGCAGCAGCATTGCCAGCATTGTTTTCTTCAATGAAGCTGACAGTGGAGTTGATGATCAGTAAAACCACTATTCCTATGAAGTCTTGCCAATCTGGTGGCTTCCCCTGAAAATATTCAACCCATTCATCATACTTAATGAGCAATTCTAAAGAGCCCATATCAACAAATTATTCAAGTTCTCATTTGAGTACTAAGTATAGTACTAAACAAGTAGTATACCCCTCCATTTGCCAGGCCAATCGCAATGAGAGCAGCCATTTCCATCACCCACGACAGTGGGTTCCACATGAACCCCAAGAACTTCAGCAGCTTGCTTTCCTGTTTTTCATTGGTAATAATGTCGATCGAAACTTAGCACCACATTAAACTAGACAATGAGAAGAAAAAAAACAAAGGGAACTATGTTATGTGTGTGTATAGATCATATATAGTTGCATGCCTCTTTCTCTTCAAGCTTGTTTGGCCCAAAGACTTGAAGCCTATGTTCAGCTTCCTCTGTTGATAACCCGTCTTTGGTACAACGCAGATGCTGATATACCTCCTCCACTGGTATACGTTCCTGTTTTTTTGCATCCAAACTCAGTAGGGTGACACAATAATGCAATCAATGTATAATACAGGAAACGTCATTTGATTTCTTTAGTTATACATTCCTATAATCCTATGACGTAGAACAATTTAATGTAATCCAAATGTTACAAGTACTGTACATATTTGGTTATGCTACACTTTAAAGCAGCCTTCTATAATTTACATGGTGTTTGTGAAAAGCTTTGGATCAAAGTACTCCCTATGTTGTTAGCCGTTAGGAGATTATAATGTTGTCTCAGAGTGTTTCATATACTCCATATATCAAGATTCAAGACAATGCTTAGATGTAAAAATGAGTGAGGATCAAATACTAATATGTCCTTGTTAATTCTTCTCTATATTAATTGAATGTAGAAGTTAATAATCTGATCTCTTAAAAGTGCAAACCCACTATTAGTTTGGAACTAAAAAGTAAAAAAAAAAAAGTACAATATTATTATAGTCAGTAACAAACATACTAAAAAAACTACTCCGTTCTTAGAATAACAGTAGCATAAATCATTTTACTCCGTTCTTAAACTTTACTACATTGGGCACAAGTCTACCCAAATTCACAATTTCTTTTGCAGTCTATCCCAAATTCAAATTCTAAAGCCTTTTAGCAGATGCGGGTCTAGTGCATAAGTTGTGGATGTTCCAAATAATTTTATCATCAATTATTTTTAACAATAGTATTGCTCGATACAAATTGTCTACACATTTTTTAAACAACAAAAATTTTGTATGTAATACGAAGTATAAAGCTATAAATAATTAAGTTCACTAATATAAACCTTTTCAAGTTTTATAAGTCTAGCTAATTACAAATTATATATAGGGTGTGTTTCTAATTAGAAGCATGCTTATCGTGAGAACATCAATGTGATGATATAACGTTTGTACCTTATACTTTTTCGTGTTGACGAAATATTTATGAAACTGCTACCGTATTAAATTTGATGTTGTCATGTTCTAAACAATGTCTAAAAAGTGCAATAAATGAGTTGCATAGTGCATCAAATTGAATTAAAAGTGCTCGCTCTCACGTTTTCACCATAAGCATGATTTTCATTAGAAGCGTACCCTATATGTTTTCCACGTAAACTCTATTTGAAATACAAGAATGTGGCTATATATCTAATCATGCAATTCTTAGACATGGCATGGATTACGAAATAGCTAGAGATAATTTCTTGAATATGATAAAAACAAGGGAAACGTTCATAAGTAGGAGTACCGTTATTTTATTTCTAAAAATATGTCTCATTCACTCCTATTTTGAGAACTTTTCATTGACTTATTCTTTTAATATGACTCAATAAGTCATATTTTCGGAAGAAAAGATACTCCGTATTTGGTCCAATTTTAGAATTTGGACTATATATCTTTCTAGTCCAAATTTGTATAAGAAATACTCTATATGAGTGTAAGTAAATATGGTACAGAAGAATATAATGGAAAAGGAATCACTATTATATTAAAGACGTGGGGATCTGATAAAAGAATGAAATTAGAGTATGATGCATGTGTTAAATGAATGAACAAATTAAAATAAACAAAAGATGGATCATATATATGAAGATGAAGAAGAGATGGAGGGTTAGGTGGCGACGACATACAAGATCGACATTCTCGTTTTTGATATCTTCCAACGTAATCCGGTCCGCCGCCGCCATTCGACCTGCCTTGCCTTGCCTGCTATATATATACGTCGTCGCTCTCTAGCTGCTAAACTGGCGTATACGTAACTATATATACTACGTCTGATATGATCTATATATCTCTTATAGTATAGTGCGTCGTATCCTATACATACTAATATTAATAAACCAAAGATGGATATTTATGGTCTAATTAAACCGGCCGACGACGACTCTTAATCACCAACATCCATATGATGATCTGATGGTAATAATAAATATATATAGTAGTACCCGATCAGCAACTCGTACTAATTAATAATAATAATAATAATAATAATAATGGTATATATATCAACAATAAATAACTAAGCCTCCTAAATGATCAGTGATATATAGGTTTTTGGGTGGGGGTCGATGATGTGTTACTTAATTATATTATTACTCCTCTCTTTATTTCTTTTTGTATTGATATTTTAGCTTATGGGGGATTGATCGAAGTTATAGTGGGATTGGGATAGTATTACTGGAATTTATAGGTGTGATGATGGATGCGGAAAATTTAAAAGGTAAGTATTTAATTGGTGATTATATATATATATATAATTAATTAATAATTAGTTGGATCGGAGATGGAAAGGTAAGGTAGGTAGACAAGATTGGGCGGCCATATAGAGTAGAGAGACACTCCTGGCCAGGCGATGGAAAACCCTACCTGCCTGGCTGCGCTAATGATATGAGCGGATGGATGGATGGGAAGTGGTTTAATTTGGCTTCCATGACTCTTGTCTTCCTCTCCGTCTCTTACGTACGTACTCCGCGCATGCACATTCTAATTCAAAATGAGCCTTACTTTTGGCCTTTTTATTTTCAACTAGTATAGAACCCGTGCATCCCACGGGACAGGGTCGGGGGATCGAATTAATTTTCATATTAAATACGGAGTAATAGTTTATTGAAACACCACATATGTCTTAATTTAATATGAAGTTTGTCAATATAGATCATGTGTTGTAAGAAATAACTAATTGAGAAAATCCCATCATATAGACCGTATGTGTGTTGTAAGAAATAAAAGATGAATATATTGAAAGTTGAAAGTACATCAAAACATGTGGAAGAGGAGAAATAGATTTTCAAAGAAATATGATAAAGGTTGTATTTGGCTCTTGTTTATAATTCTACATATGTTAGAAAGCTGTCTGTCTAGTCCAAAATCTAATTTTCTCGTGATACTTCTACCTGTGGAAACTTGATAATATATGATTAGGTAAAATAATATTAGACCATTGACGTGTATAGACTAAATAATAAAATATAATAAACACGGATGGAGCTTTGAAGATTTGATGGAGGGCACGCGATTTTCTAATTTTCTAGGGAGGGAATGTTATTCTTTGAGTTGAGTTTTTATTTCTTTATTACGCGCGCTACTTCCTACTTTCCTTTTCTTTTTATCTTCAATTTGTGTACTTTCTTCTCTTGAATAAAATTTCCTTTTGGTTAAAAAAACACTAAATAAAATAAAAAATAATATCAATTCACATACCAAATTTTAGTAATATATAAACATTTTTAAAAGATAATATTCTAAGTCGATAGTTGAAAAAAAATACAAACGGTTTACTAAAAAATACAAACTTTACATGCATCCATCACTACATATATATAACAAAAACACATAGCCTTCCTTGATCTAGATCATCAACTTTTTCCAATAATTTTCCAAAACAGAGTATCACGAAGTTTCCCTTGCAATAATAAGACGGAGAATAGAAGTCCGTTTGATGATTAAGAGCCTTATAATTAGAAATTGGAAAGAGAAAAGACACATCACAATCAATTGATGAAACGCTCACAAACTACGAAATTCAAATTCTCTCAATGAAATCTACAAAGTTCGAACACTTGGTAGTAATAAAACGTCGTCTAACACGTATATGGGAGAAGATGTAGAAAAAGTTGTCTCGCTCCCCCACAGCTAGTGTAATAGCAGAAGCATCTTAGAAGCACCCAGTGTGGACAACTTATGGGCCGGGCTCCTCATACTCCCCTTTGAAAATCCACATTTGCTAGAATATGCCAAGGAGAACATAGTAGAACCAGAGACACACCATTAAGAATAATGTTACCATAAAGAGTTACAGACCCTTCCTCATATTTATAATTCATACCACACTACATGATCGAGTTGTATGTGGTCTCATGGATGGCTGGAAAAAGGACTTATAAAGAACCAGAAATTTTCTTCCCCAAATGGTGATGACCAGTCCATCAAGCAACTCATAGTACTTTCGATAAAATTGTTCGTTGCAGTTTCAAAATCCTACTCGAAGTTGAGTTCCACTCGATATATTTGAAGTATTTGAAAAATGAAATGCTCAATTTAGTTATTCATATCTTCCTTTTTTTTCTTATTCCTTTTTTCAGCGCCAAAGCTTTAGTAGTGTTAACTGTTAAGTTAGTGTATATACACACAAATGTTTATAATCCATAAACGAAATATTTCGATACATATACCACATCTTAATTGTTAATCCACAAAGTAGTTTTCAAACTACTGCCTTCTATATATATATATATATATATATATATATATATATATATAGAGCACTCTTCCGGTCAGGAATTCCTGACCGGAACCGCCGTCCGGACGGCGGCGTTTGGCCGCCTTCCGGGTGGAATTTTTTGATGAAATTTTTATGACATGTTCTTCATCAAGTCTAGTTTATCCACAAAAAAATTCAGCCAAAAACTCATTCGGGAAGGTCGTCAAATGATTTTTGCAAGTTAACTCGTCCGGAATATGTATTTTCCGGACCAGTTAACTTGCAAAAATCATTTGACGACCTTCCCGATTGAGTTTTTGGCTGAATTGTTTTAAGGATAAACTAGACTTGATGGAGAACATGCCATAAAAATTTCATCAAAAAATGTCACCGGGAAGGCGGCCAAACGCCACCGTCCGGACGGCGGTTCCTGTCCGGAATTCCGGACATGAATAAAATTATATATATATATATATATATATATATATATATATATATATATATATATATATATATATATATATATATATATATATATATATATATATATATATATATAGCATGCTTCTAACTACTCTAGGAACAAAAACCAAATATTTCTTGATTCACAAAGTAGCCAAAATGATAATCAGTAAATCTCAAAATTTTCAATCAAGTTAAGCAACTAACACTTACTACGCATAATTTATAACCTGAGATTACAAACAGAAATATGGCTTCTCCCCTTCTTATCCTTTAGCTTTACCATTTCCAAACGGGTGATTGAAATGCTTGTTTCTTGTCGTCTTGTTATTAAAAATCGAAACGTCCCTGCATCATATTAAAAAAAACGGAATACATATTTGGACTATCCTAAGATGAAACCTATAACAGACATAAATTAATAAACCTGAATAGTCACCAACCGAATGAACGGGGGGTGACTATTCACCTTTCGCGACTATCCCAAATAAACTGGAAAATAAGCTTCCTGGCCTGCAGACCCCATAAGAGGTTGAAGGATTTGCCGCCTTACCAAACCCAATGGCCACTGAAACCCTTTGCCGCTCTCCGTGACCTATCGATGACCGAAGCCTTCCGCCATAATCAGGTTTCTCCCCAACTCATCAGCTATGATTTTTACATTTTGCCCCCATGTTTATCACATTAAAGGCCAAATTTTTCGCCGCCGCATCAAACACAGGTGCCTGAAACATGTTTCACCTTTTGCAAGATCAAGTCAGTGCTACTTCATGAGTTATGTGAGACCACAACAGGAGCGTGTTTATATAGGTCAAGAATCCGAAGCATCACAACACGAATGGACTCCTTTTTATGATATTTAGTGATACTTTTGCAGAGCGTTGTAGCCCAAGGATAACAATAAATCTCGAGAAGCCTAAACATCAAATTACAACATCCAATGTGCTAATTTATTAATGCAGATGCATCGGAGTTGCTGAGAAGAGCTCCAGAATATTCAGAACACAAGTACTACATAGTTAATTTAGGCATTGAGTGCTGCCACTTCCTGCCCATATTCCTTGAGACTATTCCGTTTTAATATATTATACAGATACTAGTTCTATTTTATTTTTGCTGAACCATGTACAACAAACTGCATACGGAGTATTACATTTCTGTTAATGAGTGACTTTTTAAATGAAAAATGATTCACAAATGAAAATTTATTTATGGATTAACATCAAATTCATGCTCCCTCCGTTTCAGTTTGTTTGACACACTTTTCTTTTTGGATGTTTCAAAATGAATGTCACACTTCCATATTTCCTTATTTGGTAAATAATTCTTGATCAAAACAGTGCAAAACAATGTCGAAACAGTGTCAAACATTGTACTCTACAGTAAAATTTACCCCTTCGTAACTTTTTTTCCTTAATTTTTGACAAGTAAAACTATGTCATCCAAATTGACACAGAGGGAGTATATGTTACCCACGGTGCGTTATAATTTAGTACTCCATTATCATTTCACTAAAATTTCACTATTGTCTTGCACGAGTTGAGATCATGTAGTCATGAAACGATAATGATATGTATAATACCAAAAGGTGTAAGCATAATTGACAAAGAAATCATAGTGTGCCTACATGGGGGTGTTTTTAGTTGCACTTATTATTTTTGACTAATCTCATTGATTTAGTTTGTTTAAGTCTGCTTTATGTGTATATTACAATTAGCGAAGTGAAAACATCCTAAGTGAAAGCTATCCAAGTGAAAACATCCTAAGTGGCTAGGTGTACTAGTGTAGCAAAAAATTAAAAAGACAACTTATATTCCCTCTGCAGAGGGAATATAAGTTGTCTTTTATAAGCTGCCCTTCTCTAAAAAAAAACTAATTTATTCATTAAATGATACCAAAGGAACAAGTAATGAATAGTCTAAGACTACAATGAGATGAGACATAGAGAACAAAGGAGTCCAATAATGTGGTCTAGTTTAACAATCTTGCTCATCTTCTTGCTACTCCTAAGAAAAGCTAAAAATTACAAATAAAAGATTCGACTTTAGCAGTCACCAGAAAGAGAGAATAGGTTTGCCCACAAACCAACAAAGGAAATTTGATCAAGTACAAATTGATTGAATCATCAGTTTGACCAGCCATCGAAAATTAAAAGAGATCCAGTCGAGTATTGACTTCCTCTCGGAGTGAGGCGGTGGTTTAGGAAGAGGGCGGAAAGTTGAAGCTTTAGAAGAACTAAGTTGAACCCGCTTTGCCAACCATGAATAACGGAAATCCACCACTCGATCAGTTACACCGACAAGGAACACACAACTTTTAGACGCTGCTATGAGAAAAACAATTTTCACGCTCACCTGAAGCGGCCATAACTCTCGACCAAATAATAACCCGAAATAAAACCAGAATCCTAAAAGGTAGAAACAAAAAATAATGGCAACATAGAAAAACCTTTGATTCGTTACTGCCCAAAGAACGTTGCGATTGTTGAATACTCTTTCCAATATATCAGAGAGGGGAAGCCTAGGAGATTGGGTCG